GGAGGAGGGACAGAAGGATGAGGACTAGGAGGAGGAGGAGGAGGAGGAGGAGGTGGAGGAGGAGGAGGAGGAGGAGAAAGTAGAAACGAGAGAGGAGAGAGGCAAGCTTGGTGCGCTCGCGACACGTCGGAGCAGTGTATTGGACCCTTGAGAATTGTGGGGCCCGTCAGACCTGTGAGACCAGGGGGGCCTGTGGCACCGGCGGGACTTGTGGGACCTGCGAGATCCGGGGGACCTGTGTGAGACCTGTGAGACATACGACACCTGTCTGACCTACCGTACGGGACCTGTACCTACGGGACCTGTGTGACCTGTGAGGCCTTTGTCGGACATGCGAGACCTGCGACACCTGTGGGGCCTGCGATCCTGGCAGACTTGTGGTGCCTGTGGGGCTTGGAGGGCGGCCTGCGACACCCGTGGATCCCCTGGGACTCGTGGGGCCTGCGAGGCCTGTTGGCTTCAGAACAGTGGCCCACGCTGGGGCAAGAGCGCCGTTTTGAACAACGGGGGCACAGCGTCGATCCGACAATGAGGCCCACGATGCAGCGAAAGCACCAGTATTGAAACACTGCATACAATCGGATGGTAAACGAAACATGGGAAAACAGTTCGTCCCAATCCTGTGCGTAAAACGCAACACGCGGAGGGGGTGCGGGACACCTTCAGGACAGAGTCAGTGGAGAAAGGAGAGTCGTTCTCATACTGTGTAAGTGTAGAGAGGGGGAGGGGAGGAGGAGGAGGAGGAGGAGGAGGATGAAGAGGAAGAGGAGGATGAGTCGGAGGAGGAGGAAGAGGATGAGGATGTTGATGATGCTGATGATGATGATGATGATGAAGATGATGATGATGATGATGATGATGATGATGATGATGATGATGATGATGATGATGATGCTGATGATAATGATAATGATTATGAGGAGGAGGAGGAGGAGGAGGAGGAGTAGAAGGAGGAGGTAGATGCGGCGGAGGAGGAGGCGGAACAGGAGGCGGATGAGGGAAGGAGGAGGAGGAGGAATTGGGTTTCGAGGAGGAGGAGGAGGAGGAGGAGGAGGAGGAGTAGGAGGAGGGTGAGGAGGAGGAGAAGATGGTATGGAGTGGGAAGAGGAGAAGGAGAGGTTGGAGTGGGAGAGGGGGAGGAGAAGAGGAGGGCAGGGCCGTGCGCAGGCAGCCCGACGAGGGCTGAGAGCCCGTGTCCGAGGGCCGCGGGATTCGGAGGCGAGATGCCCATTCGACGGGTGGCACTCGGCCCCGCCGCCCGGGGAGGTGCAGGTGCCGATCGGCATCGTCGGCGACAAGAAGCGCGCCGGGGCCTGCACGGCCCGCGGCTCAACAGCCCGGCGCGGGCCGCGGGGCGGAGTGCCACGGCGTTTCGCAGTGGGGGGGCGAGAAAGCGGGAGGTGGGATCGGGGCGCTCTCCTCAGCCAAGTCCTCGTCGTTCGCGTCTCCTCGATGCCCTCCTCCCCCTCCTCCTCCTCCTCGTCCTTCCTCCCTTCTCCTCCACCCTCCGACCGTCCTTCTCCCCCCTCTCTGGCTCTTTTTCTTTTCCTAACCATCCTAACCATCATATGGTGTAAGTAGGGTCCTGGCTTTGAAGAGACGGCGCCCCGCGTTCCTCACCTCGTCCTGACCCTCCTCCCTCCTCGGCCTCTGTTTTCCGCGTGTCTACCAGTTCGGCACACGCCTCTCACGTTCTTGACCTTCTAGGGAGCTGCACCGAAGGCCCCAGCGGCACCATACGCATGGCGCACCCGCATCCGATTCGGCACATCCCTCACACGCTTCGTGGCCCCATGGGGAGCTCCACCGAAGGCCCCAGCCAGCGGCACGGTCCGCGTGGCGCACCCGCACCCGATTCGGTACACCCCTCACACGCTCCGTGGCCTCATACGGGGCGCCACGGGCGACACCAAAGTCCCCAGTGGCAGCGCCCGCATGGCAACCTCGCCCCATGCCAGCACACCCTACACATGCTTCGTGGCCATCCACCGAAGGCGGTACACGCAACGAGGGCATCCACAACTGCATACGCGTGGCTGGGTTCTCGCCAGGGCATGCGATTGTCGTTATTCCCAACCATTATGTGGTGTTGGGTCCTCCTTTTGAAGAGAAAGCGTCCCGCGTCTCCTAGCCTCCTTCCTCATCCTCATCCTTCCTTCTCCTATCCGTGCCTCTGCCCTCCGCACTTGTCAACCATTTCGGCACACCCCTCACACGTTCCGTGGCCCCACAGGGAGCTCCACCGAAGGCCCCAGCTGCGCAGCCCGCATGCGCCCCGGCCGCTCATGTCGGCACACCCCTCACACGCTTCGCAGCCCCACAGGGAGCTCTACCGAAGGCCCTTGTGGCGCCCGCCCGCATGCGCCCCAGCCGCTCATTCCGGCACACCCCTCACACGCTTCCTGGCCCCATAGGGAGCCCCACCGAAGACCCCAGTGGCGCCGCCCGCATGCGCCCCAGGCATTCATGTCGTCACACCCCTCACACGCTTCGCGGCACCCTAAGAGAGCTCCACCGAAGGCCCCAGTGGCGCCGCCCGCATGCGCCCCAGCCGCTCATTTCGGCACATCCCTCACACGTTTCGTGGCCCCAAGCCAAAGGGAGCTCCACGGAAGGCCCCAGTGGAGCCGTCCGCACGTCCCAGCCGCTCATTTTGGCACAGCCCTCGCATGTGTCGCGGCCTCCAGGGAGGTCCACCGAAGGTCCCAGTGGCGCCGCCCACATGCGTCCCAGCCGATCATGTCTGCACGCCCCTCACATGTTTCGTGGCACGGAAGACGAGCGCGAGGTCGGCCCAGACTGACATGGGTACGGGTAATGCACGAGCACGGCACGCATCGCAAGCATGTTCGGCCTCTGGCACATCTGTGCGCGCTGAGCTCGGCCCTGTCTACAGTAGAGCCCGGTGGAGAAGCATTCCCCAGACGTGCGTTTTCTGAGAGTAGTTGTGCCCACGGCCTGCTGCTGGCTGCCCATCCCCCCTCTCCTCCCTCTCCTCTTCCTCCTCCTTCTCCTCCTCCTCCTCCTCCTCCTCCTCCTCCGCCTGCCTTTCTTAACCGGCAGGGTTTCTCTGACTGAAGACTTGCATACCAGAGGATTTATTAACCGCATTTTTCCCGTCTGTGCGTGTTGCCTCATTCATTTTCCGACTTGCTCAACGCACGGTCCGCCCCGTAGGGGACCGCCCCGGTTACCGGAGCTGGCACGCAGACATCCACGCAATCCATGCCATGGCATACGTCTTCTGAGAGCTTATGGATCAGAACTGCTGAATTCAATCCCGTGCTGTTTGGCCGATGCGCCGTGCGGCGCGGCTCCACTGACTGACTGATAGGGAGCTCCACCGAAGACCCTCCGCACCAGTCAGCCATGTCGGCACACACCTCACACATTTCGTGGCCCCATAGGGAGCTCCACCGAGGGTCCCAGTGGCACCGCACGCATGCGTCCCAGCCGCTCATTTCGGCACACCCTTCACATGTTTCGTGACCCATACGGAGTTCCACCGAAGGCCCAAATGGCGCCGCTCGCGTGCGCCCCAGCCGCTCAATTCAGCACACACCTCGCAAGCTTCGTGACCCCATAGGGGTCCCCACCGCAGGCCCCAGAGGCGCCGCCCTTATGTCCCAGGCGTTCATTTCGGCACAATCCTCACACTGTTCTCGGCCTCCTAGGGATCTCCACCGAAGGTCACAGTGGCGCCGCCCGCATGCGTCTCATCCGCTCATTTCGTCACACCCCATCACACGATTCGCAGCGCCTAGGGAGTTCCACCGAAGGCCCCAGTGGAGCCGCCCGCATGCGTCCCAGCGGCTAATTTCTTGACACCCCTCACACGTTTCGTTGCTCCCTTGGGAGCTCCACCGAAGGCCCCAGTGGGGGTGGCCACATTCATGCCTGCCACCTATTTCCGAACACCCCTCACACGTTTCGTGGCCCACTAGAGAGCTCCACTGAAGTTCCCAGTGGGGGTGGCCACATGCGTCCGCCACACTCACTTCGGCACACCACGCACACGCCTCGAGGCCCCATCTGGGGAAGCGGGGCGGTCACCGACGGACCCAGCTCCCCGCGTCATTTCGTCACACCCTTCACACGTCTCGTGGCCCCATATGGAGCGCCGTATGACGGCCCCAGAGGCCGGGTCCACATGCGGTTCCCCGCCGATTTCGGCACACCCCTCACACGCTTCGCGGACCCATGGGGAGCTCCACCGAAGGTCCCAAGAGCAAAGTTTGCATGCGGTCCCCCGCCCAATCCGGCACGTTCCTCACATGTTTCGTGGCCCCATAGGGGAGCTCAACCGAAGGCCCCAGTGGCTAAGTCCTCATGCGGATCCCCGCCAATGTCGTCACACCCTTCATACGCTTCGTGACCCCATCGGGGAGCTTAACAAAAGGCCCCAGTGGCAAAGTTCACATGCGGTTCCCCACCCACGTGGGCACACCTCTCACACGTTTCGTGGCCCCATAGGGAGCTCCACCGAAGGTCCCAGTGACAAAATTCGCATGCGGTTCCCCGCCAGTGTGGGCACTCGGCACACCCCTCGCACTTTTCGCGGCCCCTTAGGGAGCCCCACTGAAGGCCTCAGTGGCGAAGCCCACATGCGTTTCCCCGCCCATTTCGGCACACTCCTCACGCGTTTCGTGGCCTTGTGGGGAGCTCCACCGAAGGTCCCAGTGGCAAAGTCCACAAGCGGTTCCCCGCCCGTTTCGGCACTCCCTTCACACGCTTCGTGGCCCCACAGGGAGCCATACCGAAGGCCCCAGCGGCACAGTCCAGAGGCGGTTCCCCGCTTTGTGGCCTCATAGGGAGCTCCACCGAAAGCGGTGCCCGCAACGCGGTATTCACAACTGCATATGTCTGTGTCCTTCGCCAGGAAAATTATAGTGAAGACATTACGGTTGGTGCCGCCGACCCGGAAGGACGACGACGACCACCACGACGACGACCACGACGACAAGGACAACGACGAGTTGATGAGCTTGCCACCAGCTCGG